AGTGAAGACGAGAGACACCAGAGTCCTCAGTGAAGACGAGAGACACCAGAGTCCTCAGTGAAGACGAGAGACACCAGAGTCCTCAGTGAAGACGAGAGACACCAGAGTCCTCAGTGAGAACATGAGACACCAGAGTCCTCAGTGAGGACGAGAGACACCAGAGTCCTCAGTGAGGACATGAGACACCAGAGTCCTCAGTGAAGACAAGAGACACCAGAGTCCTCAGTGAGGACAAGAGACACCAGAGTCCTCAGTGAGGACAAGAGACACCAGAGTCCTCAGTGAGGACGAGAGACAGGAGAGACGTTTACCTCGGGGTCCAGGGGCTCGATGACGGGACACAACCAGGGGACGTCGGCCAGCCGACGCAGCTGCTGAGCCACAGAAGCCAGAGCTGAGTTCAGCTGGTCCTGCTGAGGAGGGTCCAGCTGCTGCACAGACACACAACAAGCATCAGCTGGTCCACAACTTGGACCATCCACATTTAGAACTGGACACGGAGGACAGAAGACCAGTACCATGGACATCTTCCCGGCCAGGAGCAGCTCCGTCTCGCTGAGCAGAGCTTTGACGTTGACCACCATCTGAAGCACCGAGCTGCAGCTGAGAGCCTGAAGACAAAGACCAGACTGAGACACCGGGACAGACCAGGACACACCAGACAGATCTGGACTGAGCAGAGGACAGTGGAGACCCAACAGGACCTGAACCAGGTTATTAATAAAGTCCAGGTTTCAGTTTGACGAATGGGGGACGGATCAAAGCCAATCACACTGAGGGACAACTTGTCTCAAAATGGTCCAACACAGGTCAACAGAGACAGGTAGAGACGTCCTACCCCGGGACTCTTGGCGTAGACCACGTCCATGGCCTTGGAGCTGGCGTTGACGGCGTGAGCCAGTTCCTGTTCCATGCTGTGGTGGGACTGGGCCACGTCCCGGATACTGGAGACACCAGAGACACCATGAGGACATACTGCCAGCACAGATTAATGGACAGATGGACAGGAGGAGGACAGTCTCACCTGTGGATCAGGGATCCGGCTGCCTGACCGAACTCGCTGACCAGAGACGCCTCGTCCTCAGAGACGGTCTCGGGTTGAGAGGATTGGGGGGACTGGGTGGGCTGAGACCGAGGGAACTCACACTTCTGTTTGTCTTCCCAGGACTTCAGGGTGTTCTCAAAGGCCTGAAAGACATGTGGACACTGAGAACCACTGCCGGGTCCAAACCTAGACCAGGACTGCTACCTGCTGCTGGAGACTCACCCGGTCTCTGGTCAGGGTCTGGGTCCGGTTCTTGTGGATAATCTTGATGTAACCAGGAGGCTGGATCCAGGCCTCCCCATCCACCTGGACCGGGACACCTTCGTCCCCCAGGATGGTGATCTTTACGGTCCGACACTGAGGAGGACAGACAGTCAGAGGACTGGTAGGACAGGTGGGACAGATAGGACAGGTGGACAGGTAGGAGAGGTGGACAGGTGGACAGAAAGGACAGGTGGACAGAAAGGACAGGTGGGACAGATAGGACAGGTGGGACAGATAGGACAGGTGGACAGGTAGGACAGGTAGGACAGATAGGACATGTGGACAGGTGGGACAGGTGAACAGAAAGGACAGGTGGGACAGGTGGACAGAAAGGACAGGTGGACAGAAAGGACAGGTGGGACAGGTGGACAGAAAGGACAGGTGGACAGAAAGGACAGGTGGGACAGATAGGACAGGTAGGACAGGTGGGACAGATAGGACAGGTGGACAGGTAGGACATGTGGACAGGTAGGACAGGTAGGACAGGTGGACAGGTAGGACATGTGGACAGGTAGGACAGGTGGACAGTACCTGGGCAATGCGGTGGTGTTGCAGGTTGATGACTCTGGACACGGCCATCTGCATGCTGCCGAACACCGCTACCACCTCCAGGACCTTATCGTCAAACGACGGCGCCGTGAAGGTCTGATGGACAGGAGGACAGACGCCATGACATCACTGATCAGCTGACCTCACAAACCATTTCACAATAAAAGCTTCATGTTTATCATTTTTTAATTTGGAGTAAAAACATCTGGCTTTATTTATCTGCTCTGATTATGTGTCCTGAAGTGTCTCCTCTGAAGTGTCTCCTCTGAAGTGTCCCTGTGAAGTGTCCCTGTGAAGTGTCCCTCTGAAGTGTCCCTCTGAAGTGTCCCTGTGAAATGTCTCCTGTGAAGTGTCTCCTCTGAAGTGTCTCCTGTGAAGTGTCCCTGTGAAGTGTCTCCTCTGAAGTGTCCCTCTGAAGTGTCTCCTGTGAAGTGTCTCCTGTGAAGTGTCCCTTGTGAAGTGTCTCCTGTGAAGTGTCTCCTGTGAAGTGTCTCCTGTGAAGTGTCTCCTCTGAAGTGTCTCCTGTGAAGTGTCTCCTCTGAAGGGTCCCCTGTGAAGTGTCCCTGTGAAGTGTCTCCTGTGAAGTGTCTCCTCTGAAGTGTCCCTGTGAAGTGTCTCCTGTGAAGTGTCTCCTCTGAAGTGTCCCTGTGAAGTGTCCCTGTGAAGTGTCCCTCTGAAGTGTCCCTCTGAAGTGTCCCTCTCTGAAGTGTCCCTGTGAAGTGTCCCTGTGAAGTGTCCCTGTGAAGTGTCCCTGTGAAGTGTCTCCTCTGAAGTGTCCCTCTGAAGTGTCCCTCTCTGAAGTGTCCCTGTGAAGTGTCCCTGTGAAGTGTCCCTGTGAAGTGTCCCTGTGAAGTGTCTCCTGTGAAGTATCCCTGTGAAGTGTCTCCTCTGAAGTGTCCCTGTGAAGTGTCCCTCTGATGTGTCCCTGTGAAGTGTCTCCTCTGAATTATCCCTGTGAAGTGTCCCTCTGAAGTGTCCCTGTGAAGTGTCTCCTCTGAAGTGTCCCTCTGAAGTGTCCCTGTGAAGTGTCTCCTCTGAAGTGTCCCTGTGAAGTGTCCCTCTGATGTGTCCCTGTGAAGTGTCTCCTCTGAATTATCCCTGTGAAGTGTCCCTCTGAAGTGTCCCTGTGAAGTGTCTCCTCTGAAGTGTCCCTCTGAAGTGTCCCTCTCTGAAGTGTCCCTGTGAAGTGTCCCTGTGAAGTGTCCCTGTGAAGTGTCTCCTCTGAAGTGTCTCCTGTGAAGTATCCCTGTGAAGTGTCTCCTCTGAAGTGTCCCTGTGAAGTGTCCCTCTGATGTGTCCCTGTGAAGTGTCTCCTCTGAATTATCCC